GAGGACCCCCCCAAGTGCACAAATTTTTGTGCACCGGCCCTCTAGTACTAAATAAAAGAGCCAAAGCAAAGATCTATATTGTATGACTCCATTTATATGAATGTCCAATGATCCCAACTCAGAAGTGGTGCCCCTTGCCCTCCATTTGTATAGTGCATAAGAGTGTCAAGATTTTAATTTTATTTTTTGCCTAATAAAGCCACACTGCAGTTATTTTTTGCCTAATAAAGCCACACTGCAGTCCCAAATCCCCTTCCTCTCTGGCTCTGAGGAAGCTCCCACACGGAGAACCTACTCTCCTCCCCTCCCCACCCCTCTCCTCTCCTCTCCTCTGTGGCCCAGGCCAACCTGCCCTTTACTCAGGACTAGGCGATCCAGCACCTCACAGGGTCAGGAGGCAGGCTGGGCAGGGAGGGGGCTTATGTTTTGTTTCAAAAACAAACCCCACAAAACCTTATTTTTCTTTACAAAACCAAAAAGGAAACAAGAAACGATGCCAACCATTGAACTTCTAAAAAAAAATCTACGGATTCATAGGCAAATCCAGAAAGACAGAAAGTGGTTGCTAGGGGCTAGTAGGAGGGGAAGTGGAAGTGACTGCTAATGGGAATGTGGTTTTTGTGGAGAGGATGATAAACATGTTCTAGAATTAGAAAGTGGTGATGATGGCAAAATCTTGTGAATATACTAATAACCACTAAATTGTACACTTTAAATGGTAGAAGTATTCCAGGCGCTTGAGCTGGATCCGTGAACAAAACACAGAAGTCGCTGCCCTCATGGTGCACATCTCCTAAAATTATTATTATAATTGTTTTGTTCTTTTAAATTTTTACTATTAAATGCTCATTATGTGGCAGGCACTTTATTGTATATCAAGAATAATAAAATAACCGACTATTCTATTTCCATTGCCCTAAGCTATGTTTCAAGTTTTGTCGTAGATATATTTTTAGGGTCTTAACACAGATGGTTTTGGGGTTAATAAATTGAGGCCTAGTACTCGTGTCCTGCTTTCTTTTTAAAATGGGGGTTTGTTCTGATTATAAACATAATAGAATATTCTGGTTATAAAAGTAATAATTCTTATTAGAAAATACAGAATGATGTATAAAAATATACCAATTATTCATCATCCTCTCAACTAATAGGAACTGCAATTAGTATTTGGTCTGTTTTCAGTCTTTTTTCTACACAAGATATGTTTATAGAGCTAAGATATATTTATATGTAATATATGTAATATGTACATTTATTTTTATACATATCTACAATTGTACATATATATATGCATATTTTTTACTTAAGCATAAAACTTATTTCCCGTGTTATCAAAATTCTTTATAGATATAATTTAATGACTCATGACATTTTGTGAAAATAATTTACTTAACCACTCTCCTAGTATTGGGTATTTAGTTTTGAGGGTTTTTGCTACTATAAAGAATGTTGTATGAATATATTTATGCCTAACAAAATTTTCAGTACTTTAGTTTTCTAAACAGACTGCTAAAAGTGAAATTACTAGATAAAAGAACAGGAACATTTTTAAGACTTTTGATACATATTATCAAGTTGCTCAAGGTCACCCAGCTGGGAAGTGGTGGAAGTAGCAGCATAAATCAGTTTAGTTCCCCAAATGGCTTTTGTTAAACTTTGCTAACTGGAGGAACAACCCCCCCGCCCCACCCCTGACACACACACACACACACACACACACACACACACACACACACACACACACACGGTTTCTTGCTTCTTTCTGCATTTCTGTATTCACTGAGGTTGAACTCTTTTTTCCTATCCTTCAGCTATATACCTTAGAAAGCATGCACACCCTTTGTGAATTCTCTTTTCATGTTTTGTTTTGTTTTGTTTTGCCTACTTGGGTCTTTTTTGTCACTTTATTTTGCCAACTATATTAATATATCAACATGGTCCATATACATCCGGGCCATGTCATGTTCCATGTATGAAATTTTACGTGACTTTAAGAAATGAGGCAGGACTCTTCTTTAAGAGCAGCGGTGTGAACATTATAACTTGGTTGAAAATTCAAATACCCCATGTACAAAAAATGCTGAACTACCAATTTAAAAAATGCATGTATGTTGCGTCTTGAACTCCTCCACCGAACTCAGATGTGGCCACGTGGTTAAGTGTTCAAATGTTTCAGAGTAACTCAAAAAGGGTTCTGCCCAGCTGTTACCTGCCCAAGAATCACACACTGAACGTGATGCTTCCCCGTCTCTCACTAGGACTTTTATGTGAGGACAAGCAAGGATAACTAGGTTTTGTGTTATTGTGGTAGGGGTGTGAGTTGTATGTAAGGAACACATGACTGCAGGAGGTTGAGAAATGTTCTGAGGATATCACTACAGCATTCATACCACCAGCATGCCATCCTCCCGGTGGAATTGGCTAGGCTGCCTGACTTCTCAAAGATACTTTCCAGCAACTAGAGTTTTGTACATCAGAGAGTACACACCCAGTGGGAGGTGCCTGAACTCTCTTATATCAAGAAGAACAGAGGTACCCTAAAATCAGCAGGTACAGAGATGCTGATTGGCCTTGCAATAAGCAAACAAGAGTATCTGATAGTGAACCATTTCCCTGTTTCTCAGGAGCTCTGTGAATTCACCTTATCCTATTCATTCTCACACCCCGCCCCCTTCCCGGACCTCCCCCCACTAATTGTTTGTTGTTTCCGCATTAAAGTCTTCGAAGGAAAAGTGTTTGTTGGTGTTAACTAAGGGTGAGCAGGTGGACAGGCACACAGGCCTAGGGTATCAGAGGCAAATGCAGGCAGAAACCCTAGGATTGAGGAAAGGCTTGAGGCCAGGACTGGGCGGATGCAGAACTTCACAGACTATCCAGGTCACTGAATGAACTTCTGTGCTTTTGGCTAAAGAGTTAGTATTTGGCCAGAGCAGATGAAAAACTAAACAAAAACACTGTCTTTTTTTCTTCTTTTCTTTTTCTTTTTTTCCAACAACACTACAGAGAGTTTATTTGGCTCCAGAACAAAAACATATACCAGTCATTCATATTAATTCAGGGTCATTTTTTGGAGCCAGTCATGAAGGAGAAAAAGAATAATGGTTCCTGCCATGGCTGGTGTGTTCGGTGGTTAGAGTGTTGGCCCACTCACCGAATGGTCGCAGGTTCGATTCCTGGTCAAGAGCACGTACCTGGGTTGCAGTTCATTCCCAGCCCTCCCCCTCAACCCCAGTCGGGGTGCATGCGGGAGGCAACCAGTCGATGTGTCTCACATCGATGTTTCTTTCTCTCTCTCCCCTTCCTGCCTCTCTTCCTCTCTCTCTGAAGAAGCAACGGAAAAAATATCCTAAGGTGAGGATTAACAAATAAATAATGATTCCTGAAGTATGTATTGCAATGAACTCATAGTTTGAAAAGCACTTTTATGGATGGACTTCTTAGCCATTTCAAACCAACCTTTGAAGTGTGGGTACGGCTAGTCTCAAGCTAGGAGTGATGAAACTGAGGCTCAGAAAAGTCCCATACCTGTTAAATGAAAAGTCCCATACCTGTTAAATGAAAAGTCCCATACCTGTTAAATGAAGAAGTCAAAATGCAAACCTAGGCCCTCTGATTCTAAGTTGTTTTTGTGTGTGTGTGTTTTCTGAATGTGGGAAATCCACGGAATCTGGGTGATGGTAGAGGGCTTGTAGAGGCCCAAACCATCAAAATGAGACTTGGCATTGAACACTGAATTGTATGATGGGTTGAAAGATCGCACCTGATGGATGGCTCAGCCACACTATGTACAGGGTGTCCCCAAAAATGCATACACACTTTGAATAATTATTAATTCCAATGGGTTAAATCTAAAAAGAAAGAAATATTGGAATTAATAATTATTCAAAGTGTGCATACATTTTGGGGGGACACCCTATATTTTCACAGTTAAACTCATTCACAGTCAGCACTGGCAGCACATCATGGGAGAAGTGTCCCTCCCCCGCCCCCCCCCCCCTGACTAAAAACACGTTCTTATTTTTTACATACTGTACAAGACATCTAGAATTCCGGGCAATTTTGGTCTCCTAGGAGAAACTCAGAGTGAGGATGAAATCTGGCTTGGGCTACCCCCTCAGCTGAACAAAGAGGCTCAGAAAAAAATTCCACTTACCCCATAGTACAAGCCAAAATAGGGGGGGACTTCAGGTTTGAAAGGGTGGATGAGGGACATGAGTTCATCTTTGTAGCCCCAGAGCAAATCGTGGACCGTGTGCGTCACAAAGAACGTCTGCTGGTAGGCCTTTATCAGGGCGTGGATGATCCTCTGGATGATGCCTTCCTGCGCCCATTCCATGGCAGTCTGAGAAGCACAGGCAAATTCAGAGAACAGCATACCCACCCACTCTCCTGCTGAGCCTTCAGCAAAGGGAGCTGGAAACTTAAAGGTTGGAATTAAATAGCTGGAAAATTAGCCAATGGACTCCTCTCTGGCTCTGTGTACAAGAATAAAACTCCTCCGTTACTACCCTTTCTCAGGGTTAACATTTCTAACTGTGATCTCAACATCCCCATGGCCACCCTGTTATCCCCACTCAGCAGGAGGAAAGGGAAAAGCTCTTGTAAGTACATTGGCATCTTTGGCCACTAGGTGGCGCCATCTTCCTCCTGCTCGGGCACAGAGGCTGGGGCCCTCATTATAAACTCCACTAGGGGCAGGGCAGGGCCAGATCTGGGATGCAGTTTTCTAGGCCCTGGGTCCACCATGAGTGGTCACCTAGAAGTTAGTGTGGGAGCCTCAGAGGGGGTTAGTGTAGGCGAACAGGAACGTTTCCTGGGTGTCAACTGTATTGTTCTGAGATGGAATTGCCATTGTAATCAGAGCCCATTGAAACCACTCCAGGCTGTAATCAACAGCCCAGTCCCTATTATTTGGAATGGGGGAAAACAGCCAATAGGTATTTTGAGAACTTAAAAATCCTAGAACTTAAATTAAGAAGTGGTATGCAAATTCTATGGCTAGAGTTTCTGAACCAAAACAAGGGGCAGATAAATATTTTGAAAATTGTTAGCTACTCGCCCGGCCGGTATGGCTCAGTGGTTGATCATCAACCTGTGAACCAAGAGGTCACAATTTGATTCCAGGTCAGGGCACATGCCCCGGTTGCAGGCTCAATCCCCAGGAGGGGGCGTGCAGGACGCAGCCAATCAATGATTCTCTCTCATTGATGTTTCTATCTCTTTCTCTCCTTTCCTCTCTCTGAAATCAATAAATATATTTTAAAAAATTATTAACTACTTAAAAAAAACCCTAGAGACATAATTATATAAGTGCTGATCCTGAACACACAGCAAGAAATTGTGAAAAGAAATTCTAAAATTTGCCTTCCGTCACTATTTGAAAAGACCTTGTTTGAAAGACCTCAGAAAACTGTCTAAGATAAACTTTAAAGAAGGGCAAGGGAAAACATATTTTTCTTTTTATATATGTATATATTTTTTAACATAACTTAACTCCTAAACATAAAGCCATAATAGCCTTAAGTTAGCTTTTACCTTTCTTCTAAAATCCATAATAATGGTACTTAAAATGCTAACTTACCACTGCAGGAATATTAAGTGTTCTAATTAAGTCACTTTTAGCGTCTCCAACAGATAGGTTTTGAACAAAAACATAGGCCTTGTTGCTAACTGCAGATATGGTTGTTCCATTTTCGCCAAACTGAATATCCGCTTTGTTTCTGATTTCCCTAAAAGAAAGAAATAGATTTTGTTTGAAAACAGTCACTACTTTAAAACGCAGTATGTCCCCCTTCTTTCAGTATCAAAGCTATTTCCAGTATAACCATTACAGAGACTGCATGCCAGTACTGACACCGTGAAAACGAGATGAAAGCTCCAGTTTATAAAGTGAGGAAGTGAGGCCCAGGATCGAGTCTTCTCAAAAATCTGTCATTTCCATTCTTTTCCTCCACAAATTGGAAAACACAATGGTCAGGGTCACCTTGACGAGGGCAACAAAGCCAATGAACTCTGGGTTATGGTTTGTTCCCAAAATATATTCACGAGGAATACATACAAAATCTGATAGAGGCCGTCCTGTTAAAACACTTGTGCAATTTGCACTTAGGGGGTAGCTAAGTGGGATTTTGATTGCTAGACATGCACTGCCCTTTTTTTTTTCTGGCCAGACCCTGATTTTCTTTCCTCTCCTGCACTGGTCGGCGGCGTGGGACCCGAGCTCAACCAATTCTTTTCCCTTTGGCCTTGACTCCTGAGCCCAGAGCCTCTCAGTGGTTCTCAACCTTCCTGATGCCGCAACCCTTTAATACAGTTCCTCATGTTGTGGTGACCCCCAACCATAAAATTATTTTCGTTGCTACTTCATAACTGTAATTTTGCTACTGTTATGAATCGTAATGTAAATATCTGATATGCGGGATGTATTTTCATTGTTTGCGACCCACAGGTTGAGAACCGCTGCACGGTCGAAATACCGGCTTCCTCCAGGGGGCGCACATGAGCGAGGATCCTTGTGCTCCAGAGATTCGGTTGCCCTGGACCCTGCCTTTCTTCCCCATAACCCAGTCTTTCTGTAAATGAGAAAAGGGAGATTCAGATAAAGTAACTAGCCCAGGATTAACCAGGAGGTGGCAGAACAAGGCTGAGAATCCTGGTCCCCTGAGTTCACATCCCAAGTTTCCTTGACTCTACAGAGAAGTTAATGCAAAGGGACTGGTTAGCAACTGGAGGCGAAGAGGAAATTTCAAAGGCAAATCGCTGCCTCTGCCAAGGCTGGTGCCTGCAGAGGGGGATTCCTCTCCACTCCTTCCCATCCCAGAGCCTCCCTGCAGCCAAGGGGAAGAGGGAAGGACTTCTCAGGGTGCAACCACGTATAACCAGGGCCCAGGACCCCACACTGGCCTGGCTGACCACTAAGAAACTAGACGTAGAAAAAATAACCCCAGGGTGAACACCAGTTTGCACACAAAGAAAGCCGGGCCAGGGAGCAAAGAGCTGGGATTCAACGTCAGTCCGGCCAAAACCCCAGGGATCAACTCTGCCGAGTTTTCGAACTAATGACGAAAACTGATGACCTTGCTAAAGCCTTTATTTTTTTTTTCACTGAGCCCTGGGTCATGAACCTAATGGCCTGAGCAATCCCAACCCTAGAGCCGGCATCATTTGTTTATTTATGTGCACTGACTCTGGGGGGACTTTGAAAGGTTTTCTTTACAGCTCACCCTGTAAGAACCTGATGTTTTAAAGGGAACCTGAGCGTGGGGGCTCCAGTCACTTTAAGCCTTGTTGTCATTCACTGGGTTTCTCAGTACATTTTAAAAAGTCAAAGCCATGGATTCCCAAACCACAAAAATATTGAATTCACTTGGCAGGCACCAAGGGAACATGACAGGTCACTCACAACTAACCGCATGACTTCCCCTCAGCCTCCAGCCACCTAAGGCATGCCTGACTCGCGGCTTTTGCAGAGGGCTCTAACCGAAGGAGACGGTGCCTGGTGGTCAGAGGCGGCCTCCCACTCGGCAGAGGCCGAGGAAGCCAAGGAGAGAGGTGGCGAGGGGCCTCCCTCTCAGAACAACAGGTAGTCACGTCGTCCGAGGAGCACAGTCCGAGGAAACCCAAGCGCTCCCGTCACGGCGGCCGCCTCGGGAGGCCACATGCCGGCAAGTCTGGGCACCCAGCTGGTCAGCCAGAGTCCACCAGAGCAGGGCGGCCTTCTAGGGAACAGCGGACTGAGAGCAAGAAGTGAACAAGCACTGCTATACAGTGTCTGCCAAGACCAAAGAAGCTTCTAGAAATAGAAACAAAGGCATTTTTGTTTTGTTTTTTTAGGCAAAGCAAATCTTTGGCCTCGACAATTAATTAAGAAACCATATTTCGAAGTGCCTGGTATGGTCCCTGGTACTTAGCAGATGCCAATAAATCCTGGTGTTGAAGGCCCACAACACCCCAGGCTCAGATGACAGCTTAATATTTGTTATTCACCCTGGTGGCCCCAGTCACTAAGAAAAGGTTGGGTTACACTCCATCAGGCAGGAAAAGACCTGGGTGATGTTAGAGATATTTCATTTTAAATCATTTTTTTAAAGTTCTTTAACTTTTTTAAATAAAAAAAATTATTTTAAAAACTCCTGAATGTTTCAGTAAGGTCTCATCAGCCCAGAAGGAAAACCATAGCCTGAAGTAAGGAAACCAAAAGGAATCATTTTAATTAGTTGGAAAATTAACATCTAACTGTGCAATACATCGGAGATTTTGGATAAGTTAGGTATATACAATCCTATATAATAAAAACCTAATATGCTAAGTGTCCGGTCATCTGGTTGGCCGTTCAACCAATCAAAGCGTAATATGCTAATGATATGCTAAGGCTGCTCAACCGCTCGGTATGACATGCACTGACAACCAGGGGGCGGACAGTCAACTGGTCGACCAGTTGCTATGACATGCACTGACCACCAGGGGGAAGATGCTCTGATTGGTAAGTTTAGCTTGCTGCTGGGGTCCAGCCAATTGGGACTGAGGGAGATGGGCCGGACATGCCCTGGAGCCCTCTCTCGGTCCCTCCCCGGCCCCAACCATGCACTGGTGGGTCTCTTGGCCTGGCCTGTGCCCTCTCACAATCCTGGACCTCTCGGGGGATGTTGGAGAGCCAGTTTCAGCCCGATCCCGCAGGCCAGGCCGAGGGACCCCACTGGTGCACGAATTCGTGCACTGGGCCTCTGGTACTATCATATAATCCTTATCTTCCGTCACTGTAGTTCTTCATTCACCCAGTGCTCTCTGCTGAGAATCACTCAGAAGTGACTGGCAACAGTGAGCAAAGTGTGGGTTAACACTACGGTGTCGGGTGAATTTCCCGCCAAAATATAAGATGGCGCGTTAAAATGCCTATATCTTTTGAAGTATGGGTTCGATTGAAATGAAATATTTGGTAATACGCAGTTACAATCGGCCCGAGTTTACACGTTTCCCGCACTAATCCTTATCTTCCGTCACTGTAGTTCTTCATTCACCCAGTGCTCTCTGCTAAGAATCACTCAGAAGTGACTGGCAACAGTGGGCAAAGTGTGGGTTAAGATCTGACTGCCAGGCTCCGCATTCCATTCTGGCTTCACCCGTTACTAGCTCTGTGACTAAGGAGAAGTTACTCATTGCTTCCATGCCTCAGTTTCCTGGGCAATAACGTACCTTCCTTGTAGGCTTGTGGAGGGTGGAGGGGCCTCCTTGTAGGCAAGTGGAGGTAAGAATGTACCTTCCTTATAGGATTGTGGTGAGAATTAAATTTGCATAAGCTTGTCATCCATTCAGAACACTACCTGGCACATACTAAGAGCTTAGGAAACAAGTAGCTAGTAACATTATGTGTGAGGGCTTGCACTAGCTCTGGAGATGGAGAGATGTTAAGACCTGGTTCCTGTGCTCAAAGAACCTGGTGCAGCACAGACACTTCCACCTAACCAGCTACCTCACACCTGGAGCAGCTACCTCACACCTGGAGCAGCTACCTCACACCTGGAGCAGCTACCTCACACCTGGAACATCTACCTCACACCTGGAACAGCTACCTCACACCTGGAGCAGCTACCTCACACCTGGAACGGCCACTGGATGGGAGTCCTGAGGAAGGTGCTGTGCAGGGACACGGTGGGGCTGGTTCTGGAAGGAGCAGGCTCCCCCTGGTTGGGAGGCTGGAGGGGCTTCCAGGCAGGCAGCACAGCAGAGAGCACAGGCCCCGCTGGGCAGTGGAGGGTGAGGAAACGGGTCCTGCGGGAGGATGAGTGGCCTGCAGCGCAGGGCACGGCTGAGCTGACCAGAGAGTGGATGGAGAAGTGAAGTCACAGGGTGGACGCATGACCAGGAAGCAAGGGCAGAGGCGGGAAGCAGGCCTCAGGGAGGGTGCTGAGCAGCACAGGGTTTAACTTCCCGTTACCACTGCCCGGCCCACTGCGTGAGGGGCTGAACACCGAAAGCTCAGAGCTGGGTGCTGAGAAAGCGCAGGTGGGGCAGGGAGGGTGTGCCCACATCTGTTGGGTGTGGGCAAGAAGCATCTTCACTCCCGAAGCCGGAAACGGTCCTCCGTCCTCGCGGCGGTACCTGGACCCCCTGGCCAGCGCCCGCAACTCACTCAGGACAACCAGTGCATTTGGAACTCACAGTGCCTGGCCCTCACCGTTGGTGCAGGGCAAGGTGGGGGGAATCTTTTTCTACTGTTCTTACTTTTGAGCAGTTCAAAGATTTTTTTAAGAAACTCATCTAAAGACACTGTTTCTGTTTTGAAAAAGAAGTGGTATCAGAGAAGAGTGAGCCAGGTTTAGAAAATATTTTAATGGAGGAAACAATAACCATAGAATTTCTAAATTTTCTATCATCTCTTTGATATTAAAAAAATTGATTCGGCTTGGCTCTGAGATGAGTAAAGGATCGAAGGGCTAATGTTCAGAATTTGGAAGATTGAACAAAGTTCCTACCTTTGCTAAATTGCAAGGAGACAATTAAATCCTTAAGAAATTAAATGCAAAAAAATAGATCTACAAGAAAATAGACTTGAACAGCAAACCTTTGAAGGGAATTGGACTTTTTAAGCTCAGAAATGATAGGAAAGTTCATATAGGAATGGATTTCACTCTATGTAAATTTTAAACATAAAACAGGCAAAGGATAGAAAAACAGTTGCCACAACTGTAACGAAGGGTTAACATTGTTGCATATAAAGGTTTACAGACTG